GTGGTAGGCAAATTGCTGGCACATTGGCGGAGCCTAATGCGCCACGTGCCTTCCCGGCAATTGCGCCGCCTGAGCCGGGTGCAGGGTCTGTACTGGCCCGAGCACTTCCTGCCCCATGTGGGTGGGGTGCCTGCCTGCTATGACAGCCTCACCCTGGACCTCTTCATGCTGGGTTATTTCCAGCTGCTGGAGATGCGCATGAGCCGGGAGGAGCGCAAGTTCCGCCACCTGCTGTGCTATGAGATGTTTGACCGGCTAGGCAGTCATCCATGGGAGCTCATCCGACTTTTCCACAGAGTTGTACTGGAGGAGGTGGAGGCTGGGCGTCGGGACTGGCAGGATGGCTTTGAGGACCTGAAGAAGGCGTTCTTTGGAGACAGCCCAGAGCTCCCTGCTGAGGAGCCTCTGTACCAGCTCCAGGCACCAGCCCCTGTACCTCAACCTCCACCTCCCCCCCTACCACCACCATTGCCCCAGGCTGAGCCCACACTTAGCCGTGGGCCATCAGCCCCTCCGCTGGCTCCAACAGAGCCCTTCAATCGGGCTGACTCTCTGCAGCTGGTAGCAGAGATGGGAGAGTTTAGCAACGAGGACATCTGCCGCTACATCAACCGAAGCTTCTCATTCTGGAAGGAGAAGGAAGCCGAGTTGTTTGACATTTGAGCAGTAGCAGTGGAGAAAGAGAAAAGTCAAGTCAGCTGTCCATTGGGAATGGTGGAATCCACCCTGGCATCTACCTACGACTTCAAGCGCTATAGAAATGGGAACTGGATGTGTGAGGGCAGGCCTAGGACATTGGCCCTGGAATTTGAAGCCCAGCTAGGCTAATGCTGAATATAGTGGGGCCATTCTGGCCATAATTTCGAGGGCCTTTATGTTGAGGGACAGGCTGCTGCCGTGATGTCTTTAGGTGGCTGGGACAGGGCTAGGATATAAAGCTGCCTCCAGCTCTCTCTGAGCGTTGTCCAAGGTGGCTCCCCAGGGCAGTCATGGGGGCTTGGGAGTAGATCCTCTCCAAGGGATGATTCTCTACAAATCTAAGAGGATGCTCTTTCCAGGACCTAGTCTCATTGTCCACTCTGCAGACCAGACTCACATCTATCATTTTGTTCAAAGGCCTCAAGCCCTGGAACTACTAAGAAAGCAGACCTGTCTAGCTCCTGCCGACTAGATGGGACTCCACTATGGTTCTGCAACTAGTTCCTGCCTTCTCTCTGAGATTGGGAACTGGGGAAGTTCTAAGCCCTGACTTGGCCAGAGAGCCTGGGGCTGGGGGAACTGAGTTGTGTGCAGTGTGATGTGTGCAGATTACCTCTCCCTTGCTACACAGAATAATAAAGAACTTTGCCTTGAAGAGGTGCCTGCCATGGGTGGGCCCAAGATTGGCTTTTCCTTTTAGCTCATTCATTTACACCACCCACCAGGGCTCACTATTTGCCCTTCAGTGAAGTAACTGACAAGCAGGTTACCTGGGTAGCACTCCTGCTGCCTTGGAGTATCCTCAAATTTTACCCTCAAGGCAAAGAAAGGGTCAAGGATTGGTCATATTGTAAATATTTCTTGTCTATCCCAATGAGATCTGAATCCTTTGCCAAGCCAAGCTCTAAGGCTGGGTCTGTGAGACCTCCCCTGCTCCTTGCTCCCAGATGTTGGTTCTGGCAGGTTGTGGTCACCCTACAACCCACATCACCATTAACCCTGTGATCCTACTTCTTGCCACTGTTCTGGCCCTGCCTTGGGGGGTGAGGGACAGCTGTGTAAGCATACTGTGTAGGAAATGAGGTGAGTGCACTCTCAGATTCAAATTATCTTTAGGAAATATTGGAAGCTTTCCCAATAAGATCAGGGATAAAGCAAGGTCACTCACCATTTCCAATATAATTTTACACAATACTAGAAACTCCGAGAGGTAGTGGATGTAGTGGTAGGCTTGGAGCCAAGGAAGACCTAGATTCAAGTCCCCCTTCTGATACTTATTAGCTTTATGACCTTGAACTTGTCACTTAACCACTCTAAGTTTCAGACCACTGTAAAATTTCTCTATTAAGTTATTTTTAATATCAAGTAATATTATTAGTAGCAGCCTCTATTAAAGGTTCTGATCTGTCTTGGTGGAGAAAGTTCCCAGACCTCCAAAATCACAGATTCTTAGGGTCTTGATTAGAAGTACTAGATATAACAATAAAAAGAGGAAGACAAAGAAAATTATGGGAATAAAATCTCTAACCCTGAAGGTCTCTATGAGAAGAGGCTGAAAGACTGTCCTCTCCTATTTTTCCTTCCACTTTCCCCTTCCAAGGATCTTCCACCATCAACTCCCCAGTCCTTGTCTCCTTGTTCTTTAGTTGCCAAGACCTCCAGGGTCCAGGTCTGTCCTTAGCTCTTTCCCTTTCCTCTTCAACTATGAGGAATCATTCCCTGGATTCTGACTTCCACCTCACTGCATACTCTACCCCTGAACTCCTCTGGTTGTGTTGCAGGAGGAGGAGGAGGAAGCTCGTCTGGCCAGCATGCCTGCCTGGAGGAGGGACATCCTTCGGAAGAAGATGGAGGAGGAGAGGTAAGCTGGGCATTGAAAGTGAGCTGATGGGGGATACCATGTTACCAAGGAACAGAAGTGGGGGAAAAGCACTGCTAACCCACTGTTTGTTTCTCCTTCCAGGGCACAAAAACGGTGAGTGTGACCCTATTCTACCTGGAGCTACCCAGGCGAAGTTCTTCATACCCCTTTCTCCCAAGTAGCTCAGATACTCCATTCTGTCCTCTGCAACACCACGTCTCTTCCCCTAGTAACCTTTGCTGCTCATTCTCATTCCTGTCTTCTTCTTCCCCATCCCCTGCCCAATAACGTAGGCCATTATCCACCTCTCTCTCCCATAATCTTTTCTGCTGTGTCCGTTTCTTTATTTCCCTATAACCTGACCGGCTGCCGTCAATCTGTCTCCTATAATCTGATATTTTACCTATTACCTATTATCTATTACCTTAATCTGTTACCTCCTCTGCCTCACCATAACCTGACCTACTGCCACATGAGAGAGACCCCATTACTTTGATCTGTTGCCCCATCTCTAGGACGTCCCATAACCTGCCCGACTGCCTCTAGCCTTCCGTTTTCCTCAGAGGATGACTGGTATACCATACTCATCCTTCTGTCCCTCTCAGCATTTGCTGTCCTCATCCTCTGCCCCTCCCCCAGTAGCCTAGGTTCATCTCCCACCCTCTGTCCCTCTCTCATCCTGGGTTCTTCTTCCGTAAGCAGAAAAGAGGAGGAAAAACTCAGGCAGGAGGAGGCGCAGCGGGAGAAGGAGCAATCGGAGAAGCTCAGGACACTGGGGTATGACGAGACCAAACTGGCGCCCTGGCAGAGACAGATAATCCTGAAGAAAGGAGACATTGCGAAGCATTAGGCGCAGCGAGGGCCCTCCCGCCTCCCGCCTCCCGCCTCCCGCCCCCGCCCCCGCCCCTGCCCCTGCCCCTGCCCCAGCCTTTGCTGTAACTCTCCCCGCTGGCCCCTCCCTCAGAGCTGGGGCGGGGGCGAGAATTGGGTGAGAGAGGATCAGGCTAGAGCTTGGCGAGATAAACGGTCTGGGCTCTGCTTCTGGCAACAAGCCCTCATCCTTCTGATTTCTCTCCGACTCTCAGTCCCCACTCCATCCCCCCACCCCCACAGTATGGCCCTGTAGGCTTCCTCTCGCCTAGATCTCTCCTCCACGCCCCCCATCACTCCGGGGAAACAGCGCCGCAGTCTGCGTACAAAAAGTGCCCAAGCTGTGGACCCAGAGAGAACTGCTGCTGATTTGCATGCTAGTTTGCATATAATTTGCATGTTTACTGAATGTCAAAATGTACGAATATCTCCCAAACCACGTGGGTGGTTGTTTCCCCCAGCCCCTTTTCTTGGTACAGTTAGATCTGCAGCCTCCGCCCTGACTCCTACTCCCCAAATTCAGTGGGGCTGACTTAGCCCAGATTGGAGGAGGGGCGGAGTGGGGGGGGGGGCGGAGAGAAGACTGCTGGTTGGGTCGTGCCTAGAGAGTTTGGACTGCAGCCCTGTGGGGCCCAAAGGTTTTTTCCTTTAATTTGTATTCTCCTCCCCCTTCTATCCATCTAGGCTTTTCCCAACCCTTAGCTCAAGATCAGGTCCCCCTTCCCATCCTGGCTTGGCCGGTCCTCCCTCCATTCCTCTGACAGTTTGCTTTCAGTCATTTGTTTACCAGAAAGTGAAAGAAAATTACCTTCCCTGGGGCCCAGACGGGAGCCCCGCGTGACACCTATACCCCCCCCCCCCCCCTCCGCCCTCTACATACACATTTATTCCCTGCCCACACTTAGCGTCAGCAGCCGCCTTTGCGGTACAGGCTTCCGCATCTGCCATATTACCCCCGTAAGCCCTCCCCCAACCCCGAGGCCCATTCCCTAGGTCATTGCCAAGGGAACTGTTGGGGGGAGGGGCGGGGAGAGGAGCAGGATGGGGCTTTTGTGTTTGTTTTTTTTTTCTAAATGTTTTTTGTCACTTTCCTCCCCGCACCCTCTGCGGAAAAGCCTCGGCCCTAGCCCCCCGTCCCCTGCCCCTTCTTTTCCTCCATTAAAGGAATCCACTGGTTATCCCATGCTTGGGAAGGGGTTTCTGTCGCTCACTCAGTCACTTTGCGCTTTTTTCTTGTTTCCTTCAAAGCAGGTGATCTGGAGGGACGTACTGGGGCCATATGGGGGACGGGGCTTTGTAGAGGGGGGCGGAAACAAAGGCAATCTGAGATTCAACTTTCCTGGGGAGAAAGACGCAGCCTCGAGCCCCGGGGGAAATGGACCGAGAAATATTTTGAGTGCCCTTCCCGTCCTGCCCCAGGCCACTGCGTTCATTTAGCCGCGGTCGCCCCAGTAACTTGTTCCCAATTCATTACACCTTTCAGCGTCCTTGAAGAACTAGCCCCCTCACCCCCTGCCCCACACACCCACACACCCAACACGTTTACACAGGGGAATTTGCTGCTGGCGTTTAATATTGAACTAGCAGCAACCTCCAAGCGATGTGAAAGGTTAACACCCTCTGTCCCAGCACAGACACGCGTGTCCTCCCGAGCTCGGGTTCTGAGAGGGAGGAGGGAGGAGGGAGGAGGGAGGAGGGGGAGGGGGAGGGAATAGCCGCTCCAAATCAGGGGCAGTGTAAGTGACATAACATGTCTACAGACTTAAGTAACCATACTTAGTGCTTCGGACGGCCACCACCTTGGGGGCCTGAGCCTCCTTTTTTCCTCGGCCGGCGGGCAGGAGAGAAGGAGAGAGGCAGGGCGCCAAGAAGGCGTCAGTCCCTTCTCCACCACAGTCACGGTCACGGTCACGGTCACGGGCCCCGCTGCAGCCGGCTGCGCAGATCTTCGGCGCAGCCTTCCAGTCCCATGCGCTCCAGGGCGGCGTATACTGCGCCCAGCCCTGCGGGCTGCTGCTGGCGCCAGCGCTTGAGCATCTCATACTGCTGATCGCGAAAGCGGCCAATCTCCGCCTCCACTGCCTCGATCTCTGCCTCCCGAAGTCCCAGGGTTCGTACGAACTCCTTCCAGCGCCGTGCCGGGACTGCGTCCATCACCTCGTACAGCTGTGGGCCTGGCTGGAGAGTGCCGGCCTCAGGACCTAGAAGCAAAGGTCGGCAGTGGGGCTACCCGGGGGAAATTCGAAAGTGGTGGGCCGGAGGGGGTGGAATCACAGGGAACCAAGATGGAGAGGCTCCAAGGGCTGAAAGATAATCATTGCTGTGTTCCCCATCCCAGGATCTAAGAGAGGGAAGAAGTCTGGCGTTTAACCCATCATGCTCACCATTCCCTCTGTTGGGCGGTTGGCCCCAGAGCACAGGCCATGAATTTTCTGGACCCGCGACTTCCCGGGCCAGTGGAGGACTGCTAGGACCACGGTTCCCCACAAGCTGTAGAGCACACATCTCATTGTATCTATTCAGAGGGAGGGAAGGCCTGCCTACTGGTGAAGGGTTGAGTACCTGAAAGCAAAGATAAGCCCAGACGAATTCCCTTCACCAGGCAATCTTCACTCAGTCCTACCACATCTACCAGGTGACACACCCTCTCACCTCCCAGACACACCCATCCTCCGTACCCACTGGCGTTTCAAGGCCTCCATTTCTGTTTCATCTGCCAATTTGAGACAAAAGAGGGGCGGGTCAGTTGTTGAACTGGGCTCCAGCACCCCTAGGGCCCTTCTTCAGGATGTCTCAAGGCCTATTTCCAGCTCCTATGGAAATCCAGGCTGGGATCCTTGAGGTGGGGTTAGGAAGGTTGGTACTTACAATGAGCCTGGGGTTTTAGGACCCAGCATTTCTGGTAGCTGTAGAACAGGCCCCATCCTAGCAAGAGCAGAACTGTTAGCGACGTTGGCACCACCAAGAAGTACTGAAGCCAGACCCCTGAGAAAGAAGGGGGTCTGGAATAAGTATCCCCTGTTACCTTTGTTCCTGACCTCCAGGAAGGCCAGAAGCGCTAGAAGGCCCAGCCAGACTCTCACCCCCAAAGAGTCTTCCACTACCTACCCTGCTTGGAGCTAGAGATCCCAGAGCAGATCTCTGAATGGCTCCCGGAATCATTCCCCCAGTGGTTACCTGTAGGCTGGCTAGGAGTGGTCCTTGGGCTGATCACTGTGGACAGTTCCTTTCCACTCTCGGTTCTGTAGAATGTGTAAAGAACTAGTGTAATGGAACTCACACTTCAGCTAGTCCCCTATGAATGTATAAATCCTATTTAAAATATTTTGGGGTAAAGAATTCTAAGTCAATATTTTTGTAAAGCAAAGGATTACCTTCCAGCTTCTCCCTCTCTTTGTTTTTGTTTTTGTTGGAATGGGAGTATTACCATACTCTGAGTTTGCCTGAAGTTAGGAGCATACCTTTACTATGGCCCCTAGGAACTGAGTAGCCAAACCTGTACAGCATCCTTTCATCACCTGTGCTGTTAGCCCACTTAGCCACTAACTGCAGTGACCCCAAGGAGCTGTGTCTAATCTGGCCCATCTTCCCAAAAAATCTATGCTCTTTTGTCCCTTCTTTTCCCAAATCAAATACTTACACTTTACCTCCCCATCACCCATTCGAACCCAGACTCCCTCCTCTCTTGCCCATCAGCCCTGTCTCCAGTGGCTTGGTTTCACTTTCCCAGCACCAGATGGTGCTTTGCAGGCCCTTTGCCCCTCTCCCAAGTATCCCCCTCCCTTCTTCCTGCTGTGGTACATATGAACACACTCCCCTACCCACCCAGTAGTTAGCAACACCCCACCCTAGGGGGAAATGGGAGCTGGTTTAGGGTGCCCTCTGAGGACAGGGTAGTTACATGGAGCAGGGTGCAGGAACACAACTGTTCTTCTGGTCCTGACAGAAGCCTGGCAAACAGCTCCCACAAACAGTGTCTGTTCCAGAACCTAGGGACAGCCCATAAGAAATTGACATTAGATCTGGGGGTAAATATAGCCAGGGATGAGTGGATAAAGGGTCAAACTGTAGGGTGCAGAGGAGAAAGGGAGGAACTCACAAGGGACCAGTGTGTGTCGGTGCAGAGTTTCACAGTCCCGGCATTGAATGCAGAGGAAAGGTGAATCAGTCCCGCAGGGGTTCACAGAGCACTCCGGGAACCAGCCGGGAGCACAGCCACACTGGGTGTTGGCCACCGATGAGCAGTTCCGGACAACAACCTGATAGGCAGGGCCTGAGAGGAAAGTCAGAGACCCAGCCCAGTGCAGAGGCCCAGCACAACACCTGCCTTCAGGAGGCAGGGATTTTTGTCTTCATCTTCAAAGCACAGTGCCTGGCTCAGAGTGAGTTGAATTGACTTGAATAAAGAAACTTATAGATCAGACAGAAAGAGCAGAAAGAGACCAATACCCAATCAATACACAGGCAGAGAGAGAACTAGAGATAGCTGAGAGAGAATCAGAGATAGACCAGCACAGAGAGGAAGGAAGGAAGGAAAGGGAGGGGGGTAGAGAGAGACTGAGAAAATGAATCAGAGCTAGACCAACACAGAAAGAGAACAGAGTGAGTGAAGGAGAGGAAGAGTGACTAGGAGAAAGACAGATACGCAGAGTCAGAGTGATATAGAGACAAAGAGCTAGAGAATGAATGAATGAATGGAGGAATAGAGAAAGAAAAATCTTAGGAAATTAAATGTTTGTACCCTACCATCCTCATCACAGAGTCGACATCGGGCACACTGCATTGACTTATGGTCCTCTTTAGACAGGAAGGTGTCTTGATGGCAGGGCTGACAGGAGGAAGGGCCTTGGGGCTCAGTGCAGGCCGCTTCCAGGAAATGCCCTAAAGATGAGAATCCTAACTCTCAGTGATCTATTAGTAAAAAAAAAAGGGAGCAGGGGCCCCAAAATCTTCCCCCAAAAGCCTTCTCAATTGATTTAAGGTACCCCCCCACCCTTCCCATCTTTGGAGACCCCCGCTCTTGTTCTTCCCAGTTCTCCCAACTGATTCAAAGGCCCACAAACCTTCCTTCTCATCTCACAAGTCCCACTCTAAACCCCCTCAGAACTCTGACATTTTGCTCTTCAGCACTCCCAGACCCCTCCCTTGCAGCTTCTCACCTGCTGGGCAGCTCCTACAGCACTGTCTACTTGACTCATCCCAAAAATATTGGGGAGTTGAGCAAAGCTGGGATTTCTGAGAAAGGGGACTCTGGTTGAACATCGGGCTCAGCCCTGGGGAGGTCCTGGGGCTCCTTAGAAGGGGTGGGAGCTCCCGATGACCAGGGTCCAGAGCATTACCTTCTACCATCACCACCAAGAGGAACACCTGGGGAAGGGGGGGACAGAAAGCTGATTGCCTCCCCCAAATAACACTCACCAGACCCGATAACTCCCAAACCGTGTTCTCTATACTCATCTTGGAGGGAACATTCTAGAAACCTCCTGCTAGCCCTTGCAGGCAAAAGGGTAGGAGAATCCTGGGTAAAGGGGTTACCCACTCACCCACCTCACCCTTCATCTGAGAGCTAGGCCAATCCCCAAGGGACCCTATATGTGTAGGAAGGGGGTGAGACAGGGACAAAGCCCCCAAAGCCCCATAAGCAATTCTTGAGTGTTGGGACACCAGGACTTTCCGAACATCCAAAAGCCAGAGGGTATGAGTTGGCCCCTCCAGGGACAATCCACTCAGCCCTGGGACCTCCTAGGGTCGGAAGACGACTGGAGAGATAAGATCTCTCCGTTTAGATCAGGCGTGGGAGACTTGAGGGTTGGCCTATCATTCTGTTCCTGGATCACCTCAGGGCCCCCACCTCCCACTGAGAGGAAGGGGGCAGGCGCTTCCTCCTACCTAAAGGGCCGCGTCCTGCCTGTTCAGCGGATATGTAGGTCAGGGTAGATCAAAGAAGGAGCTCGAGCCGGCTGCCCACAGATCCAGACCCAGCCCCCAACTCTCGACCCTCCTCATAGGTAGGGTTCTTGGGAGTCCTCCCTTAGCCCCCAGAGGCAGGTATAGATGACTAAAGCGTTCAGAATCTAGTTCCCAGCCTGGGGGGAGGTGGGGCGAGGGGGAGAGACACGGGACAGCAGCCTGACTTTGATGCCCTACTGTGCCTCCTCCAACTGGAGAACTAGACAGACCTGGGAATGATCCTTCTTCCTCTATAGGTTTCCTCGTTCCCTCTCATCCCAGACCCTGGACTGAGAGTCCCAGCAGCCCGGAGTCCCCGTGTATTGAAATCTCTGTTCCCCCGAGCCCCGCCGCCCGAGTTCTTGTCCCCTCCCACCCAGCCCCAGCAGTTTGGAGGTCTTCTCCCCCGCTGAGTTCCCCCAGAGCACCAGCGGACCGAGGTCTGTTTCCCCCGAAGCCGGTAGAGCTGAGGTCTTTCCACCACAACACTCCCTCCCCAGCCCCGCGCCGTCTCTGGGCCGAGATCTTCTCCGCCTCCCAACCTCCTAGACTGAGACCTCGCTGTAGTGCCCCTCGGCCTGAGCTCACGATTCTCCCGAGCTCGCTAGGTTGAATTCCTTACCCCCACCGACGGCTTCTTCTCTTCTCCCTCACCCCTCAACCCCGCTGCCTAAGGTCTCCTGGGCCCATCCCGTGCCCAATGGAGGCCCAAGGCTAGCTTTCCCCACCTCCTCCAGATTCGATCCCCGCCCCCTCCTTAAAACATGGGTGCCCCCCATTTCCTTTTCATCGCACCCCCACACAGAGACACACTCACCCGCGCCACAGCCGTGACTGTGCGGCCCCGGGGCAGCATCGCTCCACACCCCACGAGCCTCCCCGCCGGGCCTGGCGACGCGACCCAGCAGGAGAGGGGTGGAGAAGGGGCGTGCACAGGTGGGGAGACCCGTGGGGCTTCCCCGCCTTGCCCCAACCCCAGCTTCCCGCGGTGCCCCAGCTCCACCTCCTCGAGGATAGGGACTACCTTTTGCTTCTTTTTGTATCCCCGATGCTTAGCACAGTGCCAGGCGAGAAGTAGGCGCTTAGCATTTGTTAACTGACACAGCAGCTAACCCGTTCCTGAAGCCTCTTATATATTTGAGTGAGAGGACCCGAGTTCAAATTATGACTGCCGCTGTCACTTCCTTCTCTAGGCCAGTTTCTCTTCCGGTTCTAAGAGCCTCTGATCAATATCTCCTGGGCATCTGCACCAGGACCGGGGCTTTGGGTTACAAGTACCAAGATTCCTATGGCCCAAGTAAGAAATTAGCTGAGGTTAGGCAAAGTGTAACAGTGGATTTGGGGTTAAGCAAGGACTTGGGTTCAAATCCGAGTACTGCCAGTTACTGCCTATGTGACTTTAATGTCACTTAACCTCTCTGGGCCTCTAGTGTCTCTATCCGCAAAATGAGGAGGTGGGACTTCATGACCTCTCAAGCTGCTTTCCCCTCCTATTTATATTAAGAATCATAAGACAGAAGCAGGTGATCCAGCACTAGGTTTTTGTTTGACTCTTACTTAATTAGCTGTGTGACCTTGGGCAAGTCCTTTAATCTCTCCAAACCTCTATAAAACTAGAGGGGTAGGGGATGAGGTGGGGGAGGTGTTGGGCTAGGTAACCTCTAAGATCCCTTATAAGATCCTCCCTACACCCAATTTACAGATGAAAAAATGAGGTTCAGAATGGGAAAGTGACTTATCCAAGACCAAGAAGGCAGTTAATTAGCAGATTTATGGCCCTGACTCCAAATCCAATGTTCTTTCTCCCATGACATGCTGCCTCCCCTTAGGGATCCCTATCTCTGCCTTAGTCCCCATCTCTCTGTCTCCCCTAGCCTCACTCTCCTATCCCACTTCTGTCAACAAATGTTTGCTCCTTGAATCTCCAGTGAGATATTTTTGGCTGACAGGGGCATTGAAACCTTGTCTCTTTCCTATCTGTGTGACTGTGGGTGAGTGAGTTACCTCATCTGTAAGATGAGTATGGTGATATCCTGGTACAATGGGAAAAACAATGACTGAAGTCAGAGGATCTGAGTTCAAATCCTACCTCTGACATGACCTGTGACCTCGGGAAAATCACAACTTCTCTGACCCTCAGTCTGCTTCTGTGTAGGATGAGGGGGTAGAACTAGATGGTCTGGGGTCCATTTCAGGTCTAATTCTAGGAATCTGGGAATGACTTCTATTTATTGTCCTGGGGGGAGGGGGGAAGCAGGGTCCCTCATTCCTCAGATAGTGTACAGGTCATCCTAACACCTGAAGCAAGGGCTTCATTCACTGGGGCTTGCAGCACCCCCAGCCTCCAAAAGAAGAAGGAAGATTGGGGCAGCTAGGTGGTGCAGTGGATAGAGCACTGGTCCTGAATTCAGGAGGACCTGAGTTCAAATCTGACCTCAGACACATAACACTTACTAGCTGTGTGACCCTGGGCAAGTCACTTAACCCCATTGCCTAGCCAAAAAAAAAAAAAAAAAAGAAAGAAGATTCCTAAGGCTCTTCCCCCAGGGAGCACAGAAAGCATAAGCTGGGAAGGCCAGGAAACCCAGGATTAAGAATGAGGCACCCATACACCAGCCAGATCCAAGTGCCCCAGGCCAAGACCTCCCACTTTCTCCCAACAAGGTATGGTGGCAGAGGCAAGGGGAAGGAGCCATTCTATCACCACCTCCTCTTTCCCCATAGAAGAAACAGAAACCAGAGACCCATAGGGAAAACAGAATGCACTCTTGTCACACAGGAGAATATACATAAGTCTTTATAAAAGAAACCCAAAGCTCAATAAATATGCACCTTTATACATAGGGGAATTGGGGGGGGGGCTGTCCCTTGTTTCCCACCCCGGTGTGGCCTTGACTGGGGGGAGTAGGATGGGGTTGAGGGCACTTCCTGGGTCTACCTATCTGGGGACAAGAAAGGAAAGAGGCCAGCTGGGGGAATGGTGGAGAGATGGCCCAGTGGCTTAAAGGAAGGGGATCATAATTCAGCCAGGGGAGGAGGGGGTGTTTGTGTGTTGAAGATGGGGATTCCTGGGGTTGGACCCTCCGAGGTGGGGTCTGGAGAAGCAGCAGTGAATGTGTGAGCTGTGAGCGGGAGCAGCTAAGAGCTCAGAGGGTGGATGCATGGGAGTCTCCCCAGGGCCTTCCTGTCTCTCGGCCCAGGCACAATCAGCAAAGTGCAGTTTGGTTCCTGGTTTCCAGCCCTCAATCTGTTCCCTGGAGACTGATGTCCTGGTCCCACACTGAGGGGATTGGGAGCACATCAGTCAGAACCAGGCCATCTGTCTGTCTGTGTGACCATCCATCCATCCATCCATCCATCCATGGCACCCTGGGGTCCTCCTGCTGCTCAGACTTCTCTGGAGGACAAGTAGGGGAAGGGGGAAAGAGGACAGGGTCTGTACTCCCAATAAAGCTACCTCAAGTGACATGAAGAACCCCAAACCCCAAAGCCCACTTGTGACTCCAAGCAGCACCCAGCAGCACCCTCTGCCTCACGTCCTCACAATCTGCCTTCCCCTGTGACCCACCTCCCATGCCTACCCTTGGCCAGTATCTATATCCTCAGCCCTGATGCCTTGCTTCCCGTAGTGCCCACAGGCTCCCCACGGACACTCACGATGCTGTCAGCGTGGAGTTTAGGAGAAGCGTGGTTCTAATTCGATACAGCTGTGCCAGGGTCAGCTTCCTGTGCTGGCCTGAGGGCTGGGCCCTCAAGGTGGTTTTAGTGACTGGCTTTTCACACTCCCTCGAGAAAGGACACTCATCCTCCCGTCCAGGGGAGCACCCCCAATCTTCAACCTCAGAAAGCTCTGAGGCACTGCATGGGCTGGCCCCCCTATAGTCCCAGCTGACACAGGCTTCCTGAAGTGGCTGGCATGGCCCCACCTGAGTCCTGGAGAAGCCATTGGGAGGGAGGGGAGTAGTCAGGCAAAGCTCAGACAGGCTCCGGCTAGGGGTTGCTGGGGGGTCCCGGCCGGAAGCCCCTGAGAGCAGTTGCAGCAAGCTGGCCTCTGATTTGGATTTGAGTAAGCGAGGCCAAGGCAGCAGCTGGACAGGGGTGCGACGTCGGAGGCGGGGTGAGGGTGGCAAGGCAGGAGTAGGGAGGTCAGGTGGGTCAGGGGGCCTGGGGGCAGGAACAGGAGCCAGTTCTGAGGTGGCAACAAAGTCCTTCAGGGAGGTTGGGGAGAGCGTGCCGTAGGCAGAATCGATGGAGCAGGAGCGGCACTCAGCCGCGGCCGAGGGGAGCAGTCCGTCAGGCTCAGGGCCCAGCAGCTCACTCGTTGGGGTGGCGGATGAAGCGGTCGTGCTGATCGAGGTCTCATCTGACCGGGAACTGAATGGGCCGCCCTCAAAGTCCGGCGATGATGGCGTTTCGCCAGGCTCCACCACCACAATGGCTAGAGTCTCTGTGGAACCATCGGAGGGGCTAGAAAGGAGAGGGGATAGGGCCAGGGGAGCAAAAGGGGACTTTGAACAAACAGGTCATTGAGTCACTCGATCCGGATTAAACACTAAGTTTGTGCCTAACCCTGAACACAAATGAACACAGGGAAGGAGATACTGAAAAAAGTAAGACAGGGTAGGGTCCCTGCCCTCAGAGAGCTTACAGTCTACCAGTAGCAGCAGTAAAAACAACTCAAAAGTTAACAGTGCTTTCAGGCTTACAAAAACCCATCTTTTCAACACCTCCAATAGGTATTTTATTACATACAAGGAACTTTGGAATCATCTCCCTCCATCCATCACCTCCACTCCACTTAGATGGCCAATACCCAATTTCAACTACTTCAATAGCCTGCTTGTTAGGTCTCCCCTGTTTCCAGCCTCCCCCGTTTCCAGCCTCCCCCTTGTCCAATCCATTCCCCACACAGATGCCAAAGTTACTGTCCTATAAAGTATAAGTCTGACCATATCACTCCCCTCCTCAGAAGTGCTCAGTGGCTCCCTATCACCTACAGGATAAAGTACAAAATTCTCAGCTTGGCATTTAAAGCCCTCTACAATCTGACTCCCACAGACCTTTCTAGACTATTTATTCTTCCCCTTCCTGCATCCTCCATTCCAGTCAGACCAGCTTGTGAGCTATTCCCTTCATGCAAAATTCCAACGCCTAATTCGGCAACTTTGCCCAAGTGGTCCCCACCTTGCCCAGAATGCATCCGCTTTTCACCATGAACTCCTCGAAACCCTAGTTTCCTTCAAAGCACAATTTATGTGGAGCAGCAGATGGAGCACTGGGCCTGGTGTCGGAACAACCTGAGTTCAAATATGGCCTCAGACGCTTGCCAGCTGTGTGACCCTGGCCAAGTCATTTAATAACCTCTGCCTCAGTTTCCTCAACTGTAAAATGGGGATAATAACAATACCTATTGTTACAGAGTAGTTGTGAGGATCAAATGAGGTAATATTTACAAAGCACTTAGCATAGCGCCTGGCACATAGTAGGTACTTAATGTTTGTTGAACTGAGTTGAATGGAATGAAGGAATTGTGTTTCAGAGAGGATAAGTGATTTACCCAAAGTGACCCAGCTAGGAAGAACCAGAGATGGCATCTGAAGCCTATTCGTCTTGATTCTAAGCCCACTGCTATCTCCATTCTACCACTGCCTCTGTAGGGCCTATGTCTTCTCTTCTCCCCTTCTGCCCCCAGCTCCAGAGCTACTGTCTGCACACAGTAGGACTTTAATCACTGTTTGTCCTGTGATGGTGTTGTAAAAGGCATACCAGCGTTGGGAATCCAGGCTGTTGTTGCTTTTTCGAAGGATGGTAGGGGAGCTAGCTCCTGAGGTACTGCTCTCTCCTTCCTCCTCCTCTTCCTCCTCATCCTCCTCCTCCTCCAGGCTCTGCAGATGCTGCTGATGACTGCCTTGGTGTTCCTGTAGTCTCATCCTCTGCAGCAGGTTCTGTAGGCAGAGAAGGAGGTTCTAGGCATCGGGCACATCTGTGGCCCAGACTTTTCCACATGTAACATACACATCCAATGCTCTCCAGCTCAACTACCCCCTTTGACCTTTAGCCCACACCCACCCACACTGGACACCTTACCTGAGCATTATAAATGGCTTCAACCCAGCCTCGGCAGAG